CTTGAGAGCAAAAATCCTACTTTGTGAGCTCCTGCCATTAAAGTTGTGAGCAGGCGATTTGCTGCTGCATCAGTTAGTTTGCTCTGGAGCCATCCTTTCTAAGCTGGAGGCTAAAAAACTGTGAGCTGGCTCACACTAACTCAGCTTAGAGGGAACACTGGCAAAGACCCTCTCCGATAGGGCAGGGTCACCACAGCCCCCCACACACAGGGAGTGGGGCTCGCTGGCACTGGGTTTTGATGGATAGGGAAGGCGTTACAGGAAGACGGGTTTCAATGCAATCCTAAAATCCCCTGATTCGGATCGCCTGGCATGAGCCTGCTTAGCTTGGCCTCGATTTCCTCCCCCCCAACTCCGCCGCCCCATTTTCCGAGCCGGCTGAACAGTGGGGGACACTCCAGGAGCGCAAGCCCCGTGCTGCTGCATTACTCCTGAGCAGCCCCATGGAATCACACAGGCATCGCTGGCGGCAGCCTGGCTGAAGTCCTCTGACCGGGGCTGGACCCGGGTGCCGCTGTTGCTGTTCATGGAAGGGACGGGAAGGAAGCTTTTTTTCCATGTGTCTGCAGCGCAGAAAGGGTTCGGCCAAGAAAGCTGCTTTGCTAGACAGGCCGAGGGGGCAGAAAAGAGGGACGGGGTGGGTCCTCTGCATTGCAAAGGAAGAGGGGAAGGGGCTTCAGATATGCAACCACACGAAAAGCCTCGCGGCCTGATCTTGGAAAGGTTTACTCACAAGTAGGTCATGGGGGGTGGGGGGAGAGGGAGCCCGTCAGGGAGGGGGCCCATAAAAACCACTAGGGGGCCAGGCACTTGCTAAACATTATCCTGCCCTGCAAGCCAGATAAGGAAGAAGAAACAAGCAACAGCCTATATAGCACCTAGCCACAAGAGGGAACGCAGCACAGTCGCCAGCATGAAACAAGAGCCGGGCAATCACACACACACACACCCCAACATACAGGGGTTCTCTCCAAGAAGCCTGTTGTTTGCCTTCAGTTCTATTGAACGCTTTCTGTTTACCGGGGGGGGGGGGGAGAGCCCGCCGAGTTGCGCGTGTTCGTGTTGCGGGGGGGGGGGGAGAGAGCCCGCCGGTCACGGCGAGCAGAACTCGCATTTAAAAAGCCCCATCCTTGAATACTCGCGCCCACCCACCCCCGATCCCACGTGCTTCAAAACTGCAAAAGGCGCTCTTGCAGCCACCGCCCCCCCTCGCTTGGCGGGCAGCCGTTTAAATGGCAAGTCTGATTCCCCGCCACCTCAGGCGCACGGAGCAGATGCTGCCGCTTCCCGCCAGATTTCGGCAAGGCGCCCACAGAAGGGGGTGCAATTGGGAAAGGGAAGAGACACCCACTCACTGGAGCTGAAGCGCGCGAGCTGCTGTGGACTTTTGGGTGGAGGAGGAGGACTTTTGGCGAGCAGGAGGAGAAGGCGGTATAGGTCGGTGGTGGACTGCCAGGAGGGGACCCTGCGGCTGGTTTGTGTGGCTAGCCTAAGCACGCACAGCACTAAGCCCCGGCGGTCAGAGGCCGGACCCGGCAGTCTCCCGCAGACATACCCCGGAGTTCAACCCCCCCCCTCTCCACCACGTGGGCAGCCGGCCTCTCTCCGCGCCTGGCTCACCTTCTCACGCCCCTCTCCATGGGCAGCTCTCTGCACAGGCCAGCCCGCCCACTCCTTCTGGCCAATGAGAGGGGGAGGCGGTGGTGGCAACCCGACCAGTGGAAACGACAGGGGGTTTGAGGTTTGATTCAAAGATGATGCCGGGACGGCAAAAGCATTTGCCTGGAGGCCGTTGCACTCGCAGGATCTCTCGTCCTGCGTCGACCCGTGCAGCGCCACATGCTCCGTGAAACGGCCCGGGAAGCGCGGGGAGGGGTGGCTGTGCTTCTGGTGGCGCTGACTAAGGCCTGCTGGGAGTAGGGGGCGGGGCTTGGTCATGTGACCGCCCCGCCCCCTGGGCAGCTCACTCCCAGAGCTCAGTACCGGAGAGCTCCAGCTCGATTCGACCCCTGTTTCAATCTATTTTAAGTCATCAGTAGAATACTTTGTTCTCATGGTTGATTGGATTTTTTTCTTCAATTTGGCTTGCTGCATTCAGATGTGACAAGTCAACTACAATTTGTTTAGGAAGAGAACAAGCTAGGATGTTCTCAGGATCACATGTGTTGCATAGAGACATTCTTTCCTCATGTACTGCATGGAGACAGAAGGCATTCTGTTTAGAACTAACTGCAGTTTTGTTATGATATCTGAATACACACAATGACAAATAGTGGTTTGCTTCCTAGTCTACAAACCAGGACTGTACGCCACAGTGTAATGCTAATATATAGATAAAAGAATAAACTATCCTTTGTTATTTAATCCAATTTGAGTATCATGAAGAACTTCAGTTCTAAACCAAGAATTCCTCAGTATCTCCCCAATGCATGGAGGTGTGTTGGGGTGACGAGCATGTGATTTTGAGGTCTTTTTTTGCTCATTCTCATTATAAACTAACTTGTTCACTTGTGACACATAGATGCATTCTCAGTGTAAACTTTACGGGGCAGTTTGTTTAATCTGGCTATGGACAGGGAAGCAGTGATTCTATTTCTTATTGTATCCTGTTTCTGCACATTTTAATATATCATTTTGTGATGAAAATTGCTTTAAAGTGTCTTACTTCCATTAAAAATGACATTTAGATGTTTCACTTGATCTTTCTTAGATATATGGGCTATTGGCTGCATATTTGCAGAGCTATTGACTTCCGAACCTATCTTTCACTGTCGTCAGGAAGACATTAAAACAAGCAATCCTTTTCACCATGATCAACTTGATCGCATATTCAGTGTAATGGGATTTCCTGCAGGTAAATTAATGTCACTAACAATTTGTATGCAAAATAAATTAATTTTTTACGTTTATGTATGAGTGGAGACAAAGAAAATATACTTTCTGTACAGTAACTCTCTGTATAATTTTAGTAGTTGTGGAATTGCTCTTTCTTTTTTAAAGATAAAGACTGGGAAGACATAAGGAAAATGCCGGAATACCCTACACTTCAAAAAGACTTTAGGAGAACAACGTAAGTTCTTTGCATGTAAGATTCATTGCAGCTATAGTTTTAACTCATATTTATGTATTTATTTTGTAAAATGTATATATCACTGTTATTGGGATCAAACATTAAAACCTGTAAGAACAAGGCATAAAAAGCTAAGTTCTATGTAGCATGCTTGTAACATTTAAGACAAATATGAATCAGTGTACATCGTGAAAACATTAAGAAAGATGACTAAATTCACACATCACAAGAAAACCGGTCTTGTAGATGCACACAGTCTGTCATATGTACCAACAAATAAAAGCTGACAAAGCATTATTTTGAATTTGAATTTTTATACCCTTCCTTTTGGAACTAGTATAGTATAAGATTTGAGGCCAAACCAGGAGTGCACCAGGATTTCCATTCCTGGAGCTCCCGTTGATTTTTTTTTACTCGGTTTTCAGGCATGTAGGAACCCAGTTTGGACCACAGGGAATGAGAGGTTAACTTCTCCCCATGCCATTTTCCTGAAATGGACTTGGGGAGCTACCGTTTGCCTCACTGGTTAAACTTACCCATAAATCAGCATGACCTCCGTTTGAAGCATGCCGTAGGCCAGTCATTCTCAGCCTCGGCTTTGCATCTGTAATACAGGTATAAAATAGTGACATACTTTACAGGGTTGTTCAAAGAATAAACTACTTAAAGTGCTTTAAATAATCCAAAAGTGTTATAATGCACTTTTAGGTATCAAATGCTGAGTATTAAATAGTCTTCTTTGTTTCTGAAAGTGTATTATCCTTTTGAAATGTGTGTTTTCATTCATTTTTCAGGTATGCCAATAGTAGCCTCATAAAATATATGGAAAAACACAAAGTGAAGCCTGACAGCAAAGTATTCCTTTTGGTAGGTAATGGTCCCAGTATCATTGTACTGTTGACAATTGCTTTCTTTGTAACATTGACTCAACTTATTCTGGCAGAAAATTAAGGTGAAAATACACCGGTTTTAAAAGGGAATGTATTGCAAAGCCTGAACTCATTTGCTGTTATCTGGTGATTTTTTGTATAGTTGATACAAGTAATAGTTTCACTGTCATGATAAATATCAGGGAGAATTGTGAGTTACATCCCGTCATTACTTGATCCTCTTTATGATTATTTTGGATTAGTCTTTTTGAGTTTGTTAAATTAGGCATAATTGAATTGATGATGTATATTATACTGCACCAGCTGCTACATTTACAGTTTGTGGCATACTTGTGAAAAGTGGCAGTTTGTGGCATACTTCTCAACAGTGGCAAATCAGACCATTTTGCTTGGTACCCAGGGCCAGATCTCTACCCAAGCAAATGAGGCCCTGGCATCACTGCTGAGGCCAGTGGTACAGGTGAACACAACAGACATGGATATGCCCACTGTTGCCTCCCAGGCATGTATTGCCACCAACTGAATCCAAGGGAAATCCCTAAAATTCTGGTGCTGCTGGGGCTTAGCTTTCTGTAAGTGTGTCTGGCCAAGCATAATCCTCATTCCCTCTTCCCTTTGTTTGATTGCACACCAGTTCTTCACTGGTAGACAGTGTATTTGGGGGGGAGGGCACTTGGGCCAAAAAGGTTGCCTGCCCCTTGTTTTATATAATGCTTAGCTTTACAAATTGAAGCATCTTTTTTTCTATGGTGAACTGCCAGCATGTTTCTTTCAGTTAATTATAAATTTGTAGGGGGCTCATCCGGCATATTCTGTAATGATAGTTACATAAACTAATCTTCTGTAATGTTATACTATTCAGCTTCAAAAACTTCTCACTATGGATCCTACAAAAAGAATTACCTCAGAGCAAGCTTTGCAGGATCCCTATTTCCAGGAAGACCCACTTCCTACATCAGAGTATGTGCCTCTTCTATACTTTATTATTTCCTCTATGTAATGCGAAACTGCTATGTATGGTGAGCATTTAATTATGTAAAAATAGACTGCTAGTCAGAACATTTTCCTTTCCTTTTCTTTTTTGGATCCCCCTAAGGGGAATTTTTTATTGATTTTTTACAAACTACAACCGAAAATATGGGAAGGGGAACTACATCTAAGGAGAAAGAAAAAAGACCCACTAATAACTAAAAACCCAAGAGTAGGAGATCAATACATCAGGTTAACTCAATGTTACTTTAAAAAGCTAATAAAACAATGAACATAGTCGGTTATGCTAGATTAATTATTTTTTAACTATTCATTTAACTGCTTAAAGAAACCCCCCGAGCATCCCAAAATCATTTCAGAATTTTCAGGCACAAATCAGAGTCCTTCAGCCACTATTTATTCTTCTCTTTTCTAATCCTCAATTTATATGAATTTTTGGGGGCAGCCAACCCCTTTTCAGAGGGTGAGTCCTCGTCCGAAGACCCCAAACCTAACTCGCAATCAGATTTGCTTTCTTCTTCTTCCTTCTCATCCTCAGCTGGTTCCCCAAGCTGTGTTCGCAGAAAATCACGTGCCTTAAGAACAGAGTCAATCTGTTCTTTTTTATCGTGAAGTTTGAAAATGATGACTTCTGGAATTAACCATCTGTAACTGATGCCATTTGTTTGTATATATATTTTATTTTGGCTTGCATGACCAGTAGTCTTAAGCACACGTACACACATTTATGCAATAAAACATTTGTTTGTAGAAAAAGGATTAGTTCTTTATAATTCTTTCTCTTCTGTCTTGTGTCAAATGGGATGTCTTTTAAAATCCTGATGTTGTTGTCCCCAATTTTCAAAGGAGTTCCCGTAGTTGCTTTCAAAATAGAGTCTCTCACATGTCTCTTCGAGAATCTGACTACCTATTTCCCCAGGCAGATTATTTTTCTTGATGTATGAGGAACAGGACCTATAGACCACATCCATCTTGCTGTAAAGGTATTCCGTGGTCAAATCTGTCATTGGGGCTATTGCTTCACTCAGCCGTTGCTTCAGATTCTCTCCTTTAATTTCCGGGGGCCCTTGAAACCGTACGACCAAATTGGCTTTCTCCATTTGTAGCTGCAAAAGTTGTGACTCTTCCGTGGCTTGCTTCAGTTCCAGCTTTTGCACCTTTTTCTTAACTTTTTTAGTATTGGCATCCATTTCCTTCACCTTCTCCCCCATTTGCTCTGTTGCTTTTAAAGATTGAGTCAATTGTAGCTGCTGTGAAGCCAAACTCTGGCCAATTATTGACAGTTGTTGCTTGATATTAGTCATCTCATCCAGCAGAGGGAGCAAGGAATCTGCCAACATTTTTGAAAGCTCAGTGGTCTCTTCCATTCGAGAACTACCCACTAGTTTCGCTTTCAAAAGTTTTTCTTTCTCCGGTTTTTTCCCCGCCATCTTTTTGGATTTGTTTACTTATCAAAAAGTTGCTAAAGTATCTGATACTCACCCAAATGCTTGTCTGCGCTCTGGTAAGTCTCTGAAAACAGTTTCAAACGCTTATTTTTCCGCTCCCCCCTCTTTATTCCGTGTTTTCATTTATGTGTTTGGGAGGGGGCCCTCCCCCGCTCGCTTCCTGTCGCTCTTTAAGGGGGACAGCTTTCTTTTTAAATCTTCATGCTCACTTCAACCCAACTCACAGTTTGTTGTTGGCCAACCAGCCTTGCTCGGCATCGGGTTTTTTCGCTCGATCTCCAACGCTTGTCCTGGTCAGCAGCACTTGTACCATACAGTCACTCAGCGGCAGGACCTTCGGGGCGGAGGAGCGCCTCAATTCTCCGGCATTGCACCGTTGAAGAGGTCGCCCCTCAAAAGCCCCCTGGCTAGGAGCCTTTTACCAAGGCTCCAGGGGGGTAGCAACCCGTCGCACCCCCTCCTACATGCTGGTGTGCAGTTTGCATCCCCGGGGCATCCGGGAGATGTGTCTGCCTGCGTGTTGCCATAGACAGGAAGTCCATCAGAACATTTTCCTGATTATGTCTCTGAGATACCTTCACTGTAAAGCAAAAGTATGCTTTTGTTCAGTAAGAGGAGTGGAATGCTCAGAAAAAAGTAAAAAATATTTAATTACTTGCCTTTTCATGGAGGCAGTTTTCTTGTTCAATATCTGGAAAGTGATTTCTCTGTGACTTCTCAATGATGAAAGAAAATCTGTGGTGTCCAAGGAACATGCACAGAAGTGACACTTTTTCTTTGAGCATAGATTCTGCTGGAATGGATCAAGACATGTAATAAAGATGAATGCTTACTCTGTAGGCTGAGAACATTTGAAAGCTTTTCACATGACATTTCAGGGACACAGGAGAAGTGGAATTGCTACAAGGTCCACCCCAACCCAAATGTGTTCATTGTAAATCCATATAGGTCCTCTGCATTAGGATTCTCTTCCCACATTCAGGAAGCCTGTTTTTTTCATGATCCCGTGTTGTCTGGAGAGGTGCCTACGTACATAGCCCTTGACATGAGCAGGACAAATGCACACAGCGAGATTGCTGCCATATTTCTAACTCCTATATTCCCCCATGCATTTAGCATCCCTGGAATGATTAGGGTAAAAGACTGAATTGAATGTAGCTTCTGTTTATTGAGTTTATTGCCACACACTGAGATAGATAGATAGATAGATAGATAGATAGATAGATAGATAGATAGATAGATAGATAGATAGATAGATATCCTTGAACAAAAATTATTTTATAGTTATTGTTTAAGCGATAATAATGGAAATGTATGTGGTTTTAGATGCAGAGATCCTCTAAAGCTGAATCTATAATACATATTTAAACTGATCTGAAACTAGATTAACTATCTCAACTTCTTCCCAAGAAACCCTGGAATGATATATGACAAGTGTTAGAAACCCCTAATCCCTTCACAGAACTATATCTTCCAGAGTTTCCAGAATGGTTTAAGAACCATGGCAGCTGAACAGATTTTAAAATCATGCTGTAGATATCCCTTCAGAAGTGCTATTGAAGGCCATTAGAAGTTGCCACAACTGTGGCTGAATATACACGTTATGGTATTTATTTACTTTTCCTAGTTATTATTTTCAGAGAGTCAGTAAAAGGAAGTCAACATTTCAATAAATGCAAGGTTGCAAATGATGGCATAGTATTATAAATCAGTTGTATTCTTTTTGTATTGCAGTGTGTTTGCTGGCTGCCAGATTCCTTATCCGAAACGAGAATTTCTTAATGAGGATGAACCTGAGGAAAAGGGGGATAAGGTATAGTTCAAAGACTACTTTATTATATCAGTAAAAAATACATTAGGCTTCCTCAGTAAGGAAGCTAGCAGCACAGGGATGTTTCAGGAATGTGTGCTTGACTGATCACCCCGGAATAATGTCATGAGACATTATTTACAAGTGCTTTACACTGAAAGATGTTCAGTGAATTTAGATACTGTTAGTAACATGTGGCTGGAAGAAGAAAGAAAAGAGGCGTCACGCTGTAATCATCTGTGTCCTGGTGACGTCTTTTCAGATTCTGCAGTTGATGAGAAATATCCCTCCAGCTCTTTATGCCCTATATTCTTTGTAGCAGCAGAGCTTGACTTGGTTTTTGAAATACTTGTGGCTTCTCAATTGCAAGTTCACAGTATTGCAAACTTTTTCTAGCCATATTTTTGGGATACAGAATTCTTGGCACACTCAGTGGGTGACCTCCTTAACTATGAAACTCCATTTTCCTTGAAGACTGCCAGAGCTGAGTATCAGTTATATCTAAACAGTACTACCTAGCACAGTGCTCTGGATTGGTTCTTTTTTGGTTAGAAACTTCATGGACAGTAGTGATAGATAATGGTTCATCCCTAACCTTCCCTGTGGAGTCCACAGGATTCTAACTTATTCCCCCTCTTTTCCAGTGTGTGTATCAGACCAGATGGTACAGAATCTTGAAACTCAGCAAGACCTGTATGCGGTTGACACCCAGCTCTCTCTTGTTTTCATCTATCCTAGGATGTCTTGCACCATTGTTGTTTACTCACTGTCTGATAGGGCAGTGGGTAACTAAGTCTGCAGTTCTTTAACACAGGGTCCCTGTAATCAAGTTGATAATACAAACCCCCTGTTTGGTGTGGCAGTCTCTTTGCAGCCTGAAGCCCATGATCCATTGCTGCACACCGGCATCTAGAGATCAGATTTATTTTCCATGCTGCCTGCACTGAATCAAAGATCAGCATAGGTAATACTCAAAAAGAAGAGGAATCTTTACAGTGAAATATCACAGTGAAAAAGGTAGAAAGTGTGAATTCAATGAAGGTGGGTAGATCTAAGGATACTATATTTATACGTGTGTGTTAAGTGCTGTTCAGTTGCTTCTGATTTATGGCAACCATAAGAATCAGTGACCTCCCAAACTTCCCATCATCAACATCCTTGCTCAGGTCTTTCAAACTGAAGGCTGTGGCTTCCTTTATTGAGTCAACCTATCTCATTTTGGATCTTCCTTCTTTTCTGCTACCTTCAACTTTTCCTAGTATTTTCCAGTGAGTTTTATCTTCTCATAATGTGACCAAAGTACGATAACCTCAGTTCAGACATTTTCGCTTCTAAGGAGAGTTCAGTTTTGATTTGATCTAGAACCCCCTTATTCGTCTTTTTTGGCAGTCCACAGTGTTCCTAAAACTCCTCCAACACCAAATTTTAAAGAAGTCAGCTTTCTTCCTGTCAGCTTTCATCATTGTCCAACTTCCACATGCATACAGAGTAATGGGGAATACCATAGTATGGATTGTCTTGGTCTTGGTCACCATTGACACATCCTTATATTTAAGGATCTTTTCTAGCTCCTTCATGCCTGCCATTATTTTGTCTTCCATATTTGTTGGCATATTCTTGTTAAGAGTTTGATGTTCTCCATTTCCGTAGCTTGGAATAGCTCTATTGATATCCCTTCTACTCTTGATTATTTGTTTCTCCCAATTGCTTTGAGTGCAGCTTTCACTTCACTTTCTAAAATGGCAGGTTCTTCTTCAAAAGATTCTTCTTTGAAGGAATCAGTCACCCTTTAATCTCTTCTGTATACTTCTTCAGTGTATTGTTCTCCTCTTTTAACTGTTCAGTTAATGTATTTCCATATTGATTTTTCAGCATGCCTAAGCCGTGCTTTAAATTTCCCTTTGATTTATTGGATCTTGTGAAACAGATCTCTTGTTCTTCCTTTTTTGTTCTATTTCTTTGCTGCACTGGTTATTATAATAGTTTTCTTTGTCTCTATGTACAAATTAATTGAGTGCTGCATGTAGACTCCTGATTCTATTTTTGTCACTTTTTACTTTTGCTTCTTGTCTGTCTTTAGCAATTTTATGAGTTTCTTCGGTCATCCATTGTGCCTTTTCATTACAGGAATAGTCTTTGATTCCCCACTCTTCCACATGAAGCCCACTGGGTGACCTTGGGCCAGTCACAGTTCTCTCAGAACTCTCTCAGCCCCACTTACCTCACAAGGTGACTGTTGTAGGGAGAGGAAGGGAAGGTGATTGTAAGCTGCTTTGAGACTTCTTTGATTAGAGGAAAGCAGGGTATAAAAACCAACCCTTCTTCTCCAATCCTCCCTCCTCACCCCCCTCGATCGGCCCACCTGCCTACCTTGTTCCACACACCCCTGACACCTGGCTGCAGCCCTTCAGGTCCTTCTACTTAGTTTCTCCTGTCACTGGCACCCTTCCCTGGCCTGGTGTTGATGCAGGTGCCAGGTACAGGACCTTCCAGGCATCCTGTCCTGGGTCACCTCTCAATGACATCCTCGGTGGCTACAATGGGCCCTGCTGCAGCGGTGACACGGCTGACATTCTCTGTGGGCTCCCTGGTGTCACCCTGGGTTGCCTCCCCTCTCCCTCCTTCAGACTCCTGTCTTCCATTCCGGGATGAGTGGGGGTCTTGATCTGATGAGTCGGAGTTGGTGGAGTTAGCTGACGTGTCACTGCAGTTGTCTTTGATAGATCCTCTGCCAGTATCACCTTCCACTATGGCTGCTGCCCTGTAGTTATCCTTTGAGGATTCCTCTGCCCCCATCACCACTGGAACTGTCTGTTCTCTCTGATGTGGCTGTTGATCCTTGAAGGGGGGAGGGTGCATCTTAGTCTGGTGTCGCAGGTGTGACCGTTCTACCTTGAGTGACTCTTCTAGGAGTTTAGCCTCTTTACAGAGTGAAACTCCTTATGGTATTGCTTTCAGCTTTGCTGACATGCACAAACCAACTCACCACACTAAGGTGTGCATCCAAGAGGGGGATTGTAGTGGTGCTACTAAAATATTGAAGGGGGAGGAAGATTCTGAAGTGGCAAGAAAAGTTCCAAGGGGGGAAATGTGGAAAATTTGTTTGTTCAGCAGTTGCACATTCAGCTGGGGCACCAAATCATTCTGCTAATGGCCTTATGTGGGTGTGGGAATGCACAGGTAGGAGGGGAGACAATAAAAAAGAAACAACTAATTTTGATAGTGGAGAGCACTTGCCTATTTTTCCTACAGTAAGTCTGTTTGTGTAGACATAAAAGAAAATAAACAAAAGAAAATGTAAAATGCATAAATAATGTGTCCTCAAGTTGCTGATATAGCAGGGATTCTTGACTGAAATGAAGTTGTGACGGACTCCAGGCTGGGATCAGCCTGCAAGAAAAGACACCTGCAGTCACGTGACTAGCAGTGGTGATGTAATTCTGATGCAGAACTCAGGGGAAGTTCTAATGAAAAGAAAAAAAACCTCTTGACAGTTGGAGTTTGGCAGTTGAGACTGTCAGTTGGTTTTAGTCTGTTGGTACTGTGCCAGGGGACTGAGGAGTCTGGTTGAACATCTTTGAGTTTGAGGAGCAAAGGAGCCTTCTCTACAGATTCCAATATTAAGGGAACCTGAGAAGAGCCAAACATAGTTCTATACTACCAGTGAAAACTAAGGAGTCTTAAAAGGAAAGTAAGCTCCTTGGGTTTAAACAAGAGATTCACGTACCTCTCACATAAGCTCTATACCCTGCTGGAGAGAGAGTCAGGTTTAGTGGATGTAGTGTGTGCCAGGAGGGTTTAGTGGACTAGTGGTCCAGAAACCAAGGCACAGCAAAGGTATTTCTCTGTGGAGGTGGAGAGTACCTGAGAAATCCACTCAGAAACTGACAGCTCTTCATCGTGGTCTCTGTGCAGTCCCACACATGGGTTGGGCGCCTGCGCACGACCTCAATCAGAGAACTTTCCAGAGCTTGCCTCGGGAGTCTTTTTTGGCGGGCTCTCTTCCCACCCTGGGGAGCAGGCACACCCTGTGCATGCCTGGAGTGGGGGGGGGAGAGCCGCCTCCCACTCAGTTCTTCTTTGACCGCCTTCGTGTTCACACCTCACAGTGATCGCTCTTCAAATTGCCTCAGCTGAGTTTTGTCCATTCTTTGTTGACTTCTCATCTTTGCTCCTTTCCTTTGTTTCTTCTAAAAAAAAAAGTTCGCTTTACTATTTTTTCTTCACTTTCGTTCTTTCGCTTCCCCCCCCCCTTCCCCTTCCCCTCCCCTTGGTCAGGAAGGTGTTTGCATGGGCTTATTTTTTAAGTCATGTCGCTGTTGTCCTGCTAAACTCCCATCTAATGACGGCCACAACCTTTGTTTAATTTGTTTGGGGGAGTTTCATCGGGTTGACTCGTGCCCTCATTGTGCCAAGTTCACTAGGGTGGCCCACCTTCACACAGTTCTTTTGGAAGGTGCACTATGCCCTACAATGTCTTTGACGGTGTCTCATGCCTCTTCTGCTGCTCAGAAGCCTTCTTCTCTTTCCGAGAACACAAAATCTTTGAAACAGAAATCTAAAAAGCGAGATGATAAACACTCTTCGACGCCGATATCGAAGCCCTCGAAATCGACTTCAGCTCCGAAGCTCGATCCCTTGATAATCTCTGGTCTCTTGACGTTGACTCCTAAGGTGGCCTCTACAGCAACCACTGTTCAGAAGTCTAAGCACCAGCCTTCGACTTCACCACTGGTTTTATCCTCTCCGACGGATTGCATTCCTCTGGGTCAACACTCTAAGTCACTGCCACGGAAGTCTCCTTCTCACCATGGTTCTCTGAGGGCTGCTGCCTGTCACTCTACATCTCATGACTCCCAGCTGCCTATCCACCTTATGGATGACAGGGAGCATTTTATGAGAAGTCAATCCCGATCTCCTCGATCACGTTATGATTGCAGGGCATATGACTACCACAGATCACTCTCTTGATCACAATCTCGGTCCAGTTACAGATCCTGGTC